CAAGTCAAAGGCCAGGCAGAGAGCTCAGATTCCGAACCCCCAGCCCCACCCCGAGTCCATGCTGGTGGTGCTGACGGCAGGGCTACACGCTATGCTGCTGATGGAAACTGCCAGATCTAGGCAAGAGCCCATCATCTGCAAACCCTTCATGGACCAGTGAGGTGTTAATTAATCATCCAATCTCCAGTCCTGCTTGTTTCCAGGAGAGAAAGTTTCAGGTGAATCCTAGGGCAAGGACTCTGAGAAGTGAATAAGTCACTTCCTGACTGCAAAATGGGGAGGAGTGCCCGCCTGGCAAGCATGGAATCCCGAGTTTGATCCCTGGTGCCAAACAAAAACAAAACAAGACAATACTTTGACACAGTATTTCAAAAAATCAAAATTAATTCCAAAAAATTCATGATGAATGAACTATCAAAATGTTAATGGAAGTTGGCATTTGATTGTGCTCTTGAATGACCTGCCTCACTGCCCCTCCCTAGTCCCCAGGGACGTGGACCCGACGTTACAAAGACGCATCGTGTGTATCAGGGCTGCCGTCTGCGAAGCAGTACATTTGAGGGAAGAATGTGTGATGGGATCCTGTCTGCATAGTAATTACGAGAAAACATCTTTTGAGCTTTAACCTTAAAGTATGTCTGCTCTGTTTCTGAGAGTAGCAACAGTGGTAAATTTTTACTGAGTACTTACTATGCAACAGTCATTCTACTTGGCACTTTACGAAGTCGTCTCTTTCACTGTTCACAGTAATCCTATGAAGCAGGTACTGGCATTGACCCCAAGAGGAGACTGAAGGTCAGAGTTAAGCAGTTTGCTTCAGATTATCCCCCTAATAAGCAGCCAACCCAGGCTGAAGTTCTACTCATCCCCACAGAGCTTGAGAAATCACTTATTCTTGGTCTGAATCCTTTTCACCCAAGACTTCAGTCTAGATCAGTACAGTTTAAATGTGCTGTGTGCACCCAAGATCATCGTGCAGGTCTGTGCGATGACCTACTACAAAACAACTTCCCAAAGGGACCTTACTGCTGAGAGTTATCCCTGTGTTATGTAAGGCTTCTGTACGCAGTTCCAGAGATATTCCAATAGAAGTTGTTTCCTCCACCCCACGTGGCTCTCCCTGGCTATCCAGTCTGTTTTCTCCCTTTTCTTAAATCTCTTTGTTGGAGAACAAAAAGAACTGAGAGAGAACGGTGGTTGCAGTGGAGGAGGTGAGGGTGGTGGTGGAGGTGGCAGAAGCAGCCAGTATTAGTCGTAGTAGCCTTGTAACCTGCCAAGCACTGTTAATGGGTGCTGCACCAGCATTTCGTGTACTCGTTAGAGAAAGCCAGTGAAAGACTGATTCGTTCCTATTTTCATCAGGAAACTGAGTCGTCTTAAGGCTGTAAGTAACTTGCTCAAGATCACAAACTCTGGTGTATTTTAGAGCTTGTGCTCTTAACCAGTACATAACAGAAAGTAGGAAAGAATTGAATGGCAAAGTGTTTAATGAGCCTCCTGGCTCTTTTTAAATAGATCTTTCAGATCTGGTTGCAGCTAGTGGAGAGGTTCCCCACTTCCCAAGAGCCCCAAAACGGCTCACGGCTGTGATAGGTTTCCCTTTGGATTCCAAAACAGAAGTCTCCACATGATCCCTGGGAATAGATTTCAAAGGAGCCAGACCACTGTGGATTTCCTTTGTCTTACGTTTTTTCAGACTAAAGTAATCTTACTTAGGCAGTCTCGAATTCATATTCCTGAATTAAGGGAGGCAGCCAAAGAGTCACGACTCCCTTGAGTACGCACCATGTGCTCTCACTGCTGGTATCTTGAGGGTACATTTACTGCCCAGGTGTTAGGGTGACTCCAGAAAAGGCACAGCTAAATCCAAGACAAAACAAAATGGGGCGAACTTAAAATGTTTGATGAATTTCCTCTTCTGAAGAACCATAACAAATCTGCTGCATTAGCATCGATCTCAAATAAAGCAACCTGATTAATAAGAACTGTGGGCCCCCTGAGAAAGAGCAGGAACAACCAGTAATACGCTGATAAATGTAATGGCTGGCTTCCTGGGAGGGAGAAGCCGTGGCTGTGAGTTTGCCAATCTCCGTGGTGTGAGAGCCTCCACCATGGCCTGTTCCTAGCTCACCCTGGTGCCCTGGATGTAGTGGTAGGAAGTAATGCCCGCTCAGCTCTTGGGGTCAGCACACAGATACATCTGACTAGGAGGAGTCAGGTGGTCACTGAGCTGTTTCGCCCCAGTGGCTGCTGATTCTGGAGCCACTGTGCGTGTGACCTTGGGAGAGTCACATCTCTGAGCCTTTGTTTCCTCCTCTCCAAAGGGTAAGATGGAGGATCCCTTCCACCTCTAACACTTTAAAGTTCTAGAAGGCGATGCCTCCCGCTTTCTCTGACATCCAAATGCCTTTAAGCGCCTTTCTGAAAAACCAAGTTAGTGCTGTGCAGCATCCAAAAGTGCCTCCAACTTAATCTACTGAGCATAAGGTTTGGAACAGAGTGACTGACTCCCTTTTGCCTCTTTCGATGTGTAGCCAATGGGGCATCATACATTTTTTACACTTCTTTTGCTAGATGTGAGATCCAGGAGGAAAAGCATGGATGTTCCAGGGTGCTCCTGCTCTGGGGGGGCCCTAGGCGGATGCACGAGCCCTCGCTGCACGCACTTCCTGCCTCCCTCCCTCCGCAGCGAGACTGTTGATAGTGCACTACCTTTTTATTTGTACTTTCATTGTATTTTTTACTATTTAAAAGCCACTTGCAGAAGTGGAAACTGCCTACATAAAGTGGAGGGGCTGCTATTTTTTCCTGAAAGGTGGCACGTCTCTCAGCGAAGAGAAAAAGGCACGCTGCACAAGGCTGGTTGGCAGTGACGGAAGCCAGCGCCGGTTTGCCTGTTGTCACAGCCAAAGCAAAATGCCACCTCTGCCGAGAAGCCAGACTGCTGCACTCCTCTTCTGTACCCTGAGGCTGTGCTCATCATGAGGCCTGCAGCATGTAGGTTGGCCAGGAGGTCACCAGGGCTGCTTGCAGGTCATCTTCCAACCCCAGGCGCTGGGGACAAGGGGAGGTTGCTCCGGGCTCTCAAACTTGATTCTGACCCCTCGGATGGCACATCGGACGCGGCCAGGAAATGTGGAACTTGAGGCCCAGGGCAAGCACAGGAGAGGCCTCGACTGCCGCGAGTAAGGTGAGGCTGCAGGAACACAGTTCTCTTCCTGGACCCTCTTCACCAAACCCAGATGCAGTGGCAGCAAACGTTCCAGAACCCTATGGCAGGAGGTGCTAAAAACACCTCCCGTCAACAACTACTACCCCAAAAAAAGTTTCAGTAAAATATTCTCACCCCTAGAGGGGAAAACCTGTCCATGCCTGGAGCAGCTTGACCCTAGCTGTCCGCTCTGCGCGGTGTGAACTCCACCTCCCCGGAAGATTTTCTCCCGCCGCCCCCCTCCCGCCACCCGCTCCCTGAGGAGGGACAGAAGGCTCCTGAATCCAACGGTTTCGCCTCCATGATCTTTAAAAGAGCAGGCGCTGGCTGCGAGGCTGCAGCGCTGCCTCGCTCGGGTGTGTGGTCTCCGTGGCGGCTGGGCTCCAAGGAGAGCCACGGTTGGCTCCGATGAGGAAGGAGCCTCGATGGGGAGATTGCAGAGAGGGCTGCTGTACACCATGGCTGAGACTGTGTCGCTGCGCGCAAGGTGAAACTTGGCAGTTCTACCTTGCAAGTAAAAACCCAAATTAATTTTTTTTAAAGAAATTAAGTCAGAAACAAGGCTTCAGAAAAACTGTGAGTGTTAGGCATAAACTGATTTTGGATGATCTTTAGGTGAGAAAGGGTGGAGTTACCATCAGAAACATGTTTTTATTTATGGTTTGCGAATCCCCACTGGTGTGCGATGTGTGTGTGCGTGCGTGCGTGTGCATGTGTGTATTGGTTAGCATGAGAGGATGCCTCATCTCAGTGCTCTAACCACCTCTTTTTGCATCTTCCCTGTGCACAGTTCATACAGATGCCCTATAAATAAAAATATACAGGACCATCCACACCTTTTCATTTTATTTGTAAATTGTTTGGTTTATGCAGCGGAGCGTAATGAAACCTGGAGAAGTTTAAAAGATTAGATTTTTTTCCTATCCTGACACTTCATAACACTGTTCATATGTCTGTGAGTGAGATTTCTGAATATATGAGCAGTACTGCAAAATTATCCTGCACCAGAGACTTCCTGCGCCACAGGGGTGGCAGTCTAAAGTGACACCGCTTCAAGCATTTTTCACAGACATGAAGCAAAATTTAACCCCCTTAAGGGGAAGTATGATTTCAACAGCTTGAAATGAGCTCATTTGTAGATGGTTTTTTTCTCTCTCTCATCTCCCATAATTTTTTGGTGTTAAGATTAAAACAGATTGCACAACCAATGTAAGGGCACGTAAGCTGCCCAGAGTACAGTTTGGCCCTTAAAGTGAAACCCTCGCACATTGTCTTCATGGGGAACATCCCAGTCGGGCAAAGGAAGGAAAATGTCCTCCTCCATCCCTCAGGCTCTCAGTCTGACTCCCAGAACTGCACTTAGTAGATAAGGGCCAGGACTGAAAAGGTAAGTGGCAGTGCACACTTATTAGGTAGAGAAGCACCCAGCCTGGGCACAGGAGATGATGGCCTTAGGAAATCAGCACCGCCTGGAATCTCAGCTGAGTGAAATTAGCCAATTACAAAAAGAGACAAAAGCTAAAGACGGTCTCTAGGAATGGGCTGTATCCAAAATGTCTAGGGTACAGGTGTTTTATGTTCGATTTCAAGTCCAGACTGCTCTCGTTTGGACCGACCCAACACCTTGTGGTTTTGTGTAAATTAATGGTCATGATCTCTGTGCTCTCAAACGCTCATGAGCCGTTTTGTCTCTTCCTGGAACAGAAGGGGGAGCTCAGATGTGGCCCAGTCCCTCTGCCCTCCTAAGATCCATGATGTGTTGGCTGGAGAACTTTTATCTCTTTTTCAGCAATGGTACAACAGCTCCATGAACGTCATCTGTACCTGGCTGACGGACCGGATGGACCTGCAGCTTCACATATATCAGTTGAAAACACTAATTAGGATGGTAAAGGTAAAAAGCAAGAATTATTTCTCTTTTTTGCAAATAGCCTACTGAAATACACTTCATTGGCAAGCCACAGGGCATCCTTAACAAAAAGAGTATTTGTTTACATGGCCAATAGGGATTTCTAGAAGAGCGTCTCCTATAAGACAAAAACTCTAAATCTCTTGGCGATGCCTGGTTCATTTCTTACACATCAAAAAAAACTTCAATAAAAAGGAATTTTATATCTTTACCCAGATAGAAAAAAATACTTTATTTGCCTTGCAAAAAACACCACAAAGGCCATCATACCCTTTGCATTAGACTTTCAAAAGCTGGCTTTTGGTGTCATTATGCTAATCACATAAATTACCAATTTCATTTATGGTTTAATTAAATAAAATTTTGTCACAATTGACTCAGTGGAAATACTTACTTTCAGCTATTTCTAAACATGTCCTGTGATCACTGTCAGAATGTAAATCAATATTGTTCTCATAGTTAATTGAAGTAGTTTCTCTTACAATGCCTGTATACAATCAAATGTAAAGGATCACAAAGGTGAGATAACATACCCTGAAAGTAGCTTTTTTCCCTGTTCTTCTGTGCGCGCGTTGGACTAATGATAATTATTTCAGTGTGAATTCTCAGTGGTTTACATGAAATGATAAGATCACAGAGGGGGTAAATACGTTTTTGATCATTTCAGTTTCCATTTGATGCCTCACTGTGGAGGATTTTATAACATTCATGTGCAGAACTCCTATTTGATGCGCAAAGTCTCCCTTTAAAATAATTCTAACCATCTACACAGCTCGATATCTGTTTCCTAACAGTTTGCCTGCAGTCTCCCCCACACGGCCTCACCGCAGTTCACAGTGCCCTGGACTGGCACCATCCCCCTGAAGTTGCTCCCCACCCCAGGGCTGACTTAAGACCCATTACCCTTCCGGTGTGTGTAATTAAGGAGAGTCATTATCGTCTGCATTTGACCTCACAAAGCATCTACCTAGGAAAGGTTATAGGCAGCCGTATACAGCAGCTCTTGAAAAAGAAACGCGCACACTCCAACGCTGGGCCTCGCTGAACTGTCCCGTGTTCATTTCACCTCTGAAGGCAGACCCCTCAGCACTGCATGACCACTTGAAGTCCATTTTCTGGGTATAAATATGCTCATGGGGAAGAGCAATTTCCATTTGACCTTTACCGGGTAGACGTGAAAAAAAGACACCATTTTAATGTGTTTAAATTGGCGCCCTATAACTGATATTTCAGGCCTGTGTTGAGAATTAGCACTATTTTATTAAGAAAAAAGTACGTCAGAGAGGAAGTTAATCTCCATCCTCTGCCAAACACACACACACACACACACACACACACACACACACACACACCCCACAGAGACGAGATGCAGAAATGTCACTGCCAAAGGGATCTTCGCTCTCACTAGAATTAGTCCGGCTTCTCTAAAGCTGCACCGCAGACAGGAAGCAGAGTTCGCCTCCTCAGCACCACGCACACTGCCCAGAGGTCCCTTTCTGCAGAGCACATTTCCAAGGGTGTCTGGCTTCCTCTCGTCCCTCGGCGGACGCTCTGTATGCCCACCCATCCAGTCATTATCAGCAAGCATGTATCCGCTCATCCAGCTCTGGGTAAAGATGAGGTGAGCCCCCCCGGAAGGAACATTCACGGGTGGCTGGAGCTGGCCCCGGCTCGAGGATCAGCGTCCAGTTAGGATGCACGCAGGGTCGTATCCTGGAATTGAAATAAAGGGCAGAATGCTCAAGCACATGTACCTGTATTTTCCCATCCTGGCTTGGCAACAACTGTGTTACTCTGAATTGCCATGGAACTGAATGAAAAGTGCAGAAATTTCAGCTAACGTCTGGTCTGCCCCACTGAATCGGCATCTTGCGTTTCCCCGTCAGGGTGGAGCAACGGTTCAAGCAGCTACAAGGCTTCTTCCTGCTCTTGAGAGCCTGAAGCTTGGTCCATGAGTTAGGATGACCTTATCATTTAGTGCCTTGTACTTGTAAGAGCGCAGCAGGGACCAGGCGTAATCACGCCGGAACAGTGCGCAAACGTACACCACGGACGTGTGTTCTCTTTCCCATAGTCTTCAGAGTTGGGCTGCGTTCACTCTTTCTCTGTGGTCACCTCAGGTTTAACCTCAGAGGGGTGGCCCTGTGACTGCTGCTCTACCACTGCGCCCAAAGAGCTGTTAGAAATAACGGTGGGCGTGGCGTTGAAATAGCTTAACATTCCTCCTCTGGCCCTGTTGTCAAATTCCTTATATCAGTAGGAGAGGCAAACAGCAGAGTCAGGAGCTGAAATGAGATGCAGTGTGATGAGAAGAGTTGTAGTTAGAAAGGGACCTTTTTGAAAAAAATAAATTATGAAGTAGACAACAGCCAGATGCTTCTGGTCACGTTCAGTTAACACTAAGAGATTTCTAGAAAAAACAGTCCTTAGGGTACCTACGGAAATCCGAGAGAAATCGCCTGGGGGAACAAAGAAAGAACTTGTGGTGCAGTAATACCAAACCGTTGCTCTTGAAAAAGAGCCAGACTTCTTCCCTGAGTGCATAAAGTTGTGAACGGAATAGATACAGTTCCTTCCCTGGGAGAGGAGACGCAAGTCACATGCTTGCAACATATTGATGAGGCATTAGCGCTCCATCTTTCCCGTAACTGTTGCTGCCCATAACAAGTTTCCTATACCAACATGCATATGTCTGTCTTGTGAATGAGACAGAGAGATATGGCTCATGCAATTATAAGACTCAAAAATCCTAAAGACCAGACTGCAACAGAAATCACACTTGATTTCTGTAACCACTTGACCCATCCTTTGTGTGGAGCAGCCCCTCCCTGTCAGTTACTGTATGCTACACCAGCCTAAGAGAGGAGCGGACCAAAAGGGAACCAAAACAGTTACGGAACATTTCCCTCCACACAGCTGAATAAACACACACTTACGTTCTTCACTTTGTCTCATCTAATACCGTTTATCCTGTCACAGTCTCCATTGTCTGTCACTCAGTGAGACTCAGTTTTCAGTACAAAATGAAATCTGAGCACGGTGGCCTTTCACTCGGCCCTGAGAAGAGGGACATTAGCTGAAGGTCCCCTCACGTGCCCACCTGCTCCGCGTCCTCCCCTCTGCACCTGGAGACGCAATCTCCCTGATCACTGCATCTTTTCCCTCCTTAGAAAACCTATAGAGATTTCCGATTGCAAGGGGTCCTGGATTCCACCCTCAACAGCAAGACTTACGAGACCATCCGGAACCGTCTCACCGTGGAGGAAGCCACGGCATCCGTGAGCGAGGGTGGGGGCCTACAGGGGATCAGCATGAAGGACAGCGACGAGGAGGACGAGGAAGATGACTAGACCACGCGGGCCCTGGAGTCCCCAGGAGAGTCCTGCACTCAATGCATGTCCTTAGTCTGTTAGTGAACCCCACTAGGAACTTTCTGTCAACTGCCATGCCCACGAGACGTTCACCAGTACAATTGCCATTTTAGCTATGTGGTACCAAGATTAGCAAATGATCTTCAGTTGATTTTCTTATTTCTGTGTCTGTATGTGTACAAGCAACATGGAGCACCAGCCTTTAAATGCCATTCATGGAGAACACGTAGTCCAGCTGTGAGGCCGGTCCGCATTCTTGGCCAAGTGTAATGATGCTTCATACTCGGTACTGTGTGTGTGTCGATGGTACATGGGTGTCAGGGCAAGGATGCTGAGGACTTAACTTCTTTGTTCATGTATGTGGATGCCAGTTATTTTAATGCGTATATAAATAAATTAATTTACTGAAGCACATAGATCTGCTTTGTTTTTTATTGAGAAACCAAAGCAAGGCTCCAACAGCCAACTTTTGGTTCTTTTGTTCCCCTAAAACAAAAAAAAGAAACTAGACCCCTTGTATCCCTGTTACCCCTTCCTCTCATTTATCTATGTAGCCAAAACAAAAGGATTGATTTCTCCTATTGCCCTGGCCAGGGGGCGATCCTGTCACCATTGACCCCCCCAAGCACAGTGCAGAGTAACTGTCTTCTGTCAAAGTTTTTCCTATTAAATGTTACATTTTGCTTTTATGTTTCAATAACTGTGTGTGTAAAAAAAAAAAAACCTGAATATTTAAATTACAACCTTAGACTATATATGTGTTTATAAGAAGATACGGCTATTTCTTTGAGTAGATTATAACCATAACTGAAATTATTTTGCTCCACACCTTTTTATATCCATCCTGTACCTTGCGTTCTGGTCTGTGACTGTGCAGCCCTGGGGCCCGCTGCAGAGCTCCTCCTGCCTCTGTAAAGTAGTGGATCCATCTTGCTTTTGCCTTATACAAAGCCTACAGGTATGAGAGTGTGGAAAACTGTGGCTTCTCAATAAATACCTGTTCACATGTCGTAAGAATATACATTTGGGTCTGTCTTCCTCTGCCTCTGACAGCCAAAACTGAAACATAAGAAGCGGAAAGCGGGGAAAGGGCAGGGAGAGGTAATTTTTCTCGAGTGTTCTTGATGCCATCGGAGTGAGTTGTTTCTAAATGCTTGTAGTTCTCCGTGAGAGACTGCCCAGAATGCCATTAATTCAGACTCCACTAATTCAGGATCTGTGGGCATTTGGACATGTTGGGCAGATTACGCTTGCATTACAGGATAAATAAGGGTTGCTGAGCAAGTGAGTAGTGTAAACGAGAGAAATGTTTCTCCTGTACGAAGAGAAGGCCAACAAACTGTTTTTAAGCACCACTCTAACAGCAGTGTTTGCATTCAAACAAAGTGTGTGCCAATTATATATGATTCTTATATATTTGTTAAAGCATTTTACAAGATTCTCTAAGCTATGGAGTGCTCTTCTCACTCCCCAGTCCCTGTCAGCAGTACAATCGCGTAGGTTTGAAAGAAATCAAACATGCGCAGCCTTGTTTGCTTCATTTGTATCTGTCAGTAAATCAGGCTGACCGCTCCGTGGGCTGTCTGAGATCTTAGGGAAGTGACTGCTTTCCTGGAGGCCCAGGCAGAGTGGACACTCACTACTTGTTCTCTACAAAATGACTCTCCTGACAGTGCATCCCACCTCCTCGGTCCTTGAGGAACACAGGCACAAATCAGGGAGACTTCCGGGCCTCAGTGGAGTGACATCAGAACACATTTATGGAGCAGCTCTTCTGTGCCAAGCATTCTGCAGGTATTACACCACTTAAGCCTCCTAACAGTCATCAGAAGACAGGAATAGCACTATCTTCATCATAGATGAAGAAATTAAGGCCAAAACGTTAAGCCAACTTGCCAAAAAACATCCCACAACGCCATGCAGAAGCAAGTCTAGAGAGACTAGCGAAAAGACATGGTAATACAAATGCTGAGAGTACCATTCAAGTATGACAAATGTTTGATTGCTCAACAGAATATAGTTAAGTCAGAGTAGCAAAGCCAGCATTTTGGGGGTACATTTTAGGTATACGATATGATGACGTTCAACATTGGGAATCTGCACCTTTACATGATCCATCTTGGTTCTTATTTTTTCCCCTTACCCCTGCCCTCCCTTTCACCCCTCCACCCTCCCTATTTACAAAGACTTTGTTTCCATTTTTTCTTTTTCTCATATTTATTCCTTTCCCCTCCCCTACCACTGCCATTTCCCCTTCACCTTTAAAAAATATATTTTACCATATTCTGAGTTTGCAAAATGAAACCATATTTCTTGCAACTGTTACAAACAATTCAAAAATGTGCAAAATAATGAGGGAGCATCTGCCTAGGATATAAGAGTTTGAGAAAAGAAGAAAATGCTCAGGATCCAAGGAGAGGAGTTAAGTTAGCAGGTCATATAACTAACCAAAGGGTACAATTCAAAAGGCAAAGGAGGGCTGGAGATTTGGCACAGTGGTTCTGCTGCCTGCCTCGCAACTACAAGGTCCCGAGTTCAATCCCTGGTACCATTAAAAAAAAAAAAAAAAAAAAAAAAAAAAAAAAGGCAAAGGAGAACCAAGTCAGAAAAGAATATGTCTCCAAAACCAAGGCCAGAAAAAACAAGATTCCTAAAAGGAGGCCACCATCACCTCCCCCTGAGCATCTTGTTCCATAGCCTCCCCCCACCACCCCATGTGGCAACATGGAGGGAGGGCAAGGGACAAGAAGTGATGTCAGAGGAGGCCAGAGAACACCGAGCAAGCCTAAGGCTTGGGCTGTCCTTGCCTTTGCACAAGGCTGAGAAGACGGCTATGCTATCGGGAGCATTTTTCTTTATGATCTTGGTGAATGAGCTTTCTCCTTTTCCCATTTTAATTTATGCTACTACAATCTAATATACATGCAAAAAGTACAGGAATCCTGAGCACACAGCTCAATGCACTGCCACAAGGTAAACATGCTCATGGGTCAGGGGCCAAGAAACAGAAGGTGCTGAAGAGCCCTGGCATGCATGCCCTGTGCCGTGAGCCTGCCGTGCTCTGCCCCTTCCTCCCAGAAGTAGCCACCATCCTGATTTCGAACAGCACAGATAAGCTCACCTACTTTAAATCTTTATGTAATTACAAACACCAGACATATTCACATTTGGCTTCTTTTGTTCTACCTTACACCATTAGGGTAGCTATGGTTCACTTTTTATTGCATGTGTGTGTGTGTGTGTGTGTGGTACTGGAGATCAAACTTAGGGCCTCATACATGCTAGGCAAGCACTCTATCACTGAGCTACATCTCCAACCCTTTCTGTTTTATTTTGAGATAAGCAAGGTCACCCAAGCTGGTCTCAAACATGCAATCCTCCTGCCTCAGCCTCCTGAGCAGCTGGCATGACAGGCATACGCCACCATGCCTAGCTAGCTTGCTGTATGGTACTCTGATCTATGAGTATATTACAATTGATTTATCAATGTTAAAATGCTGTTTTCCATTTGGGGCCATTTGGCTAGGCCCTAGGGCAAAGTTATGTTTAGAAGATGCTGCCAGTTATGCACAGAAGGTGAACACAGTCTTACCCTCACCAGCAGGACATGAGTCCTTGTTGTTCCCTATCCTTGGCAACATAAGGTATTATCAGTCTTTAGTGCTCACCATTCTGGTAAGTGGGGTGGTGGTTTACAATTGTAATTCACTGATAAGAGAAGTAGAGTCGGTTGTCTTAACAAATACCCTGCAAAGGCAATTTGGAGAGCCGCTTTTGTGAAGTGCGTGTTTGTCCTCAGTCCTTTAAAAAAAAAAAAAAAAAAAAAAAAAAAAAAAAAAAAAAAAAAAAAAAAAAAAAAAAAAAAAAAAAAAAAAAAAAAAAAAAAAAAAAAAAAAAAAAAAAAAAAAAAAAAAAAAAAAAAAAAAACTCTAGAGCATTTGAAGGCTGAAGGGGAAGAAGCCAGAGGAAAAGGTGCCAAAGTGAACGGAGACGGGAACGACCACACCAGGGGTGGAGTCCTCGGGTCGGCCCCAAGCGGAAGTCCCAGACTTCTTCAGGCCCTGCCCCCCCTCGGGCGGGGCGGGGTGGGGAGAGGCCTTCCCCCAGCTGCTGAGACCGAGGACCGGCTGGGACCTTGCCACGCCTCCAGCCGTCGGCACCGCCCCTTCCCCTCCCTGCTGTGCGCTCCGGCGCTTCCTCCCTTCTGGCCCAGAGTCCTCTCCTGAACCTCTTTTAGCTCAGATTCTCCGGGGAAGCCTTTTCGCACTCCACCCTCAGCTCAGCACCCACCTGCAACGCGTGGCCCTTTCACAGTAGGTGCTGTCCTCAAGGTGTGTCCTGTCCGCTCCCCCCGCCCCCGGGGGGCCGGGCTTGCCCGCTCTCCCCTGGATCGCAAACGCGGATTACCGGCAGGGGCAGCCCGGAAGGACCCCGAGGGGACAACCCAGCACCTTCTCTTGGGACCTTGAGACTGGGTGGCAAGAAGTCTCCTGCAGACTAAATGACCTAAGGGTCAGAGAGGGAGGAGGACAGGGACGGCAGGTTCACCTGTGCATTCGCAGCCACACAATGCGCGCCTGAAAACACAGGCCGAGGCTCCATGCATTAAGGGTATGGGAGGCCGCTTCCTGGAGACGGGTGCAGGGGCTTGGGAGAGATCTGGGTAGGAAGAGGGGTGAGGTGTCAAATTAGGGTATCCGTTTCCTTTAGTTTGGGTCTGTTACTCTGCACAGCCAAGAGCTAGCCAAACTTTTATTTTTCCCCACACATTGGAAGAAATTTAAGTTTAAAAAAAATCGAAGAGTGGAATGACAGAGAAAAAGTTCAAGCTTCTCCCCACCAACTCATCTCCCTTAAGGAGCCACTGCTGACAGATGGGCAAAAAGCCTTCAAATATGTTCAAATCTTATGCACGTGTGTGTCATATGTATTGTATATTTACACAAGTGGGGATCATCAGAGCCTAATATTTGGCAAGTCAAATTCTGCACTTACTAATGTAGGATCATACGTACGTCTGCACATTTAAACTTTCTGTATTACTTTAGGAATGGGTCTGATGTGCACATGAGCAATGAGTGTGATAAATATAAGGAGATTTCTCTGGTCAAGGAAGAAACAGGCAAAGCAAGGTAAACTGGATCAAAATAGAATGGAGGAAATGAGCCATCTGTGGACGTGACCAGGGGACTGCCTGAAAATGTGTGACTGAAGAATTGCTGAAACACCCCAAATCCAGGAACAGCCCAACTGGGCACAGTTATCTGTTTATGTGTCTGTCTCTCCGCTACGCAGCCGGCGACTTGAGGTCAGAGGTTGTGCGTCCCTTTGTGTGCCAGTCCGGTGCCCAGGACTCAGCAGACACTCAATAAATGTTGCTGGGACCGAATGGGAAAACATCCGACAGACACCGTGGTGAATGATCGTGATCAAGAAAGCATAACTACATGCACAGCAGTATACTCTTGACTATTAAAAAAGGATCACAACGGAGTTGCGGAGAGCTGTTCCGGGCCCCACCTGCCTGCCTCCCCTAAGCGGCCTCAACTTCTAACACAGGTGTAAGCAGTCCCGCTGTCCCAAGCTTGGGATTCTGTGAGAGTTTTAGGAACTCTACCAAACAAGGAGGAATAATATTACTGCCTAAGCACAAATTTTAATAAGTTCGCTTCATTTATATTTTAAGACCCAAAATAAGTGTGTTCTTGGTGGCCAGTTTCCATCAGATACATCTGAAATGAAATCAAATTATGCACAACTCTGTACTTCTCGATAAACAAAATTTTTAAAAAATCAATATTCATCATTTATTCAAGGTTGTTTTGCTTCTTCATCTAAAAACTAAAATTATCATCTGTCTTCTTTCTTATGAAACCAAGCTCCTCATCTAGAGTTATAAATCTGCACCCATAACCCAACAAAACATGAAGAAAAGCCCGATGAGGGTGCGATCTGCCAGCAATTCTGTACCCTGATGACAGTACACAGAAGGTCAAAGAAAAGCA